TTTTTTTGCCTTTTTTTTTGCTACCTGTATCCAATCAGTCAATCACAAAGGCTGTAAGAACACGAAATACACAAATGTCACACGTGTTCATCTCTTAATAATCAATTTTTTCTTTTTGAAACAAAAACAAAAAACAAACAAACAAACAAATAAACAAAAAAATGATGTAAATATATTGTACCCGAACATGAAACACCTAAAAAAAAACACTTCTTTAAAGAAAAATATTAGCAAAAGGAAGAAAGATGAACAATCTTGGGTCCTACACATCATTTGAAGTGATGCATAATTATAAAGTAGTAAGAAACACTGAAAAAAAATATATATTAATAAAAGATACAACATGTAAAAATGATGAAAACAGAAACTGTAATCAGTCGAATAACACCGCTGAGTATAAATTGTACAACATACAAAAAATTTACTCATTATTGACAACAGAATACAAAAAAAAAAGGTACCATAAAACAACAAAAAATTATTTGAAATAATTTCATGAAAAAAATCAAAATAAAAACAGAAAAAATACAAATTAATAAAAAAAATTGGTTTAAGGCCTGTACTTACTTTATTATCATTTTTTTTCCTTTTTATCACTTAATTTTCAAAGATGCACAGCGCTCCGAGATCTATGCTCAAATTTTTGACAAAACATACACGTTCCCAAAAAAACATCCATTTTTTCCTCCAATTTCCACCTCATTCAATTCCTCTTTTCTGTAAAATAGCTTCGTATGCATTTCAACGTTGTCTATTCAATTCCATTCAATTGACCGTCCGCCATCTCAATAAATTCAATACATCTTTTCCTCTTCTACTTTCTTTAATTAACCCTCTTTTTTTCTACCTGAAAACTTATCCCAAAAGACAGTGCTACGCTTTCTGCCCTCCCGTCTCCCTCCACATGGTCCTGATGAGGTCAGAAAGAAGGAGCAAATTAGAAGCAACAGGAATTTCTTTTCCAACCATTTTTTTTTCACTTCTTTTTTTCCACTATTTTTTAATAATCCAACAAACAACAGAAACGGCAGCGTTATTTAGATAAACAATGTGTGTTCTGCCATAAAACCTGAACACTATCAATGATGAAAGAATGAAGTTTCATGCATACTAGGTCAGCCTATGAGTCTTTGTGCCAGATAGCAGCTCTCATTCGACAAAGTATGAGATGAAAAAAAAAAAAGTTATTTTGCAAAAAAAAAAAATCCATTAATCACTGCAACTGCCACCCATCTTACTGTGA